TATACACCTTAGCTATATGAATAGCTAACAGAGACTAAAAAGAAAGTAAGAAAAGTTCTGACAAACCTGAAAGTTTTACAAATAAACTAGGAAAATATTAACACAGATACATATATACATTTGTGATAAAGTTTCCAATTTTAAAATTAAAAAATTCTGATGAGACAGTCCTGATTTGATTAAAGGATTTTCTAGAACTATTTTTCTACTCTTTTGAAGTCAGTGATAGAAGACAACGCCTTTCATAATATCTGACAAAAATATGAAGTGACTTCCACCTGACATACCTAACTGTTCAGGAAAACATTAATGCAAACTTTGATCTTTCTATTCTAGGACGCAAGGCTGAAGAAATCCGATTAAACTTGAAAAAAAACCTCTCCCTCATATTCATTTATAAATTCAGCACAATTTTAACAAAAATAAAAAAAAATATGAGCCTGGGAGGGATTCTTTTTCACTGTAGATATATAATTTTCTATCGATGTATATATTGGAGGGCAATACCAGTGAAGAAATCCAGAAGTGGCCAATTTGGTTCATTTTGATCTTCTAAGCAAGAGACTGGAATAAATTGTCTGACTAGATAAAAATTACAAGAGAGACAAAATGGGGATTTTTATGATTCTGGGAAAAGAGGGTTGTGTGAGATTAGAGCAACAGACACTGAATGGAAATTTGGAAATTCACAAGGGAGGGAGGGAGGGAGGGACGGAGGGAGGGAGGAAGGAATGAATGAATTTCTGGAACTTGCTAATGATTTGGCAAAATTTCTGTTTCATATGTAGGGTTTTGTTTTTTCTTTTCGATATCTGTAGTTTGTCTAAATCTGTATTGATTTAATAAAATGATGTATAAGTTAATGCTTAGTGTGCAGGAATCAAGACCTTAGATTTGGAAGAGGGGTAAGAAATCAAGGGTCTGCTGCATATGGTGGACTGCAACTCCTGTTAGCTGTAATTAACATAGTTAATTTATTTGGCTTAAATGCTGCCATTGTTCAATCGATGGCTTCTAGATAAAAACAAAACAAAAAATGTACAATCAAAAGAATAAAATCTGTAACAGTAAGTATCATGGTGAATCTCATCAACAACAAACATGCACTCGACAAAGGGCTTCAACTATTTTAACCCATAGCTTGGTATCCAAAACCTTATTCCAGAGGGCATGCTCTGTCATAGAGAAGGCATGCTTCTGGGGTCCTATGTATGACACTGGTTCATCAAAGCTATCCAGAATGTGCCAACTGTGTCAGATTAAATCAGGTTGACTCTATTGGAGATAGAGTCCCAAATAATAACAACGTCCCAAATAATCAGACCCTTTGCCACCTAGGGCTTTATGTATTACAACCAGCACCTTTAATTGCATCTTGAAGTAACTGGCAGCCCTTGCAACTCATGAAACATTACTCCTCTGAATACATTACTGCTTGTGCAGCTGCATTCTGAACATTTGAAAGTTTTGAATGATTTCCAAGGGTAGCTCCACAGGAAAAACTTTTCAGGAATTGACCCATGAGTTGACTAGGGCATAAGTGCTTATCTAGATCTAGGAAATACAACTGGCACACCAGATGAAATTTCACAAAGATGTTTCTGACCACATCTGCCATCTGCTCATCAAACATAAGCTGTGAATCTTGGAAGACTCAGAGATAGCACTGACCCATTCAGTAGGGAACGTTGGACGCAATCTTATCCAAGGGTCCTTTTATAGGTCCTTTTAAATGTTGGGCCCATTTAAATGACCCAACATTCACCATCAACTGGTCTTAGTAAGATGTGGTAAATCAGAGAGTTTCCTTCCATTCAGACCCAAATAGCCTACAATCTCAGTTGGCTGCCCTGCAAGTGAAAAATGTGATTTAATATGATCAGCATATTGATGATACCAGACCCCAAATGGTGAATGATTTCATTTGGCAATTTCATGTAGATGTTGAACACGATAGGCGAGAATGTCAAGGCCTGGCATATTCCACAAAAGAGGGATCTAGGGAGTGGCATTATGGAAGATATAGTTAAAAACATCAAGAGTTACCAGCTTATCTAGTGCTACCTTAGATGAATTTATATTTTTAGGCTGGTGTCTCCTAACATATCAGTCTGCTTCCAATAGTGAGAGCAGCTTAGCAGAAGTGGGATTTTTAACTTACTTTGGGAAGGTGCATTAAAAGTCTTATGGCAGTTGCTGGTCCAAAATTCTTTGTGTTCCAACAGCGCAATTATAACCCGCACTACTTGCTAGCACTTTAGAGATATTGCTAAGAAAAAGAACTGTTGATTTACCAAGTAGAAAGAAAGTGGAATTGAACCTGTCCTGTTCCCATTCTGAATCCCACTGACTAAGTCTAATCCATTTAAGGAGCTCCCTCTCTCCAGTCTGCCGACATTATTTGGTTGCAGTTTTTCCTCCCTGAGCACAATTTTTCCCCTTTTGAGGTTGATGCTAATCCTCATTCTGCTATAGTCCTTAAACTAATAAAAGATTAGAATGACATTTCCAAAAGGGCATCACATTAGCAGCAGCTTTCACCATCTCCACAGATCACATGGTGGAACACACCATTAGTGAACAGGCCATTAATCTTGTGGTAATGAAGGGTACAGGAATAATGAGGAGCCTGAATCTTAGTGCCACAGGTACCTTTGTCAGGCAAGAGAAGCTGCATATAATGCTGTGGTATCACAAACAGCCCCTTGTCACCACAGCATTCTACAAGCAACAAAAGAGAACAAGCACCCACTCTGATCAGTCACCGTGTGTGTTGGCTGCAACTAATGAGACTTCTCCTATGCTCTAATTAGTGGCATAAAACTGCTTTAACAACTCTGCCTATGCTATAATGTGGAATCAATTAGGATTAGCTGCATAATAAAGAATCTGTTTTCGTGGCTTTCCTACCAGGCTATAATCACTAGTGAAAGTAACCAACAAAAACCCTGATGATGGTTAGACATACTTCCTGAGACCTAATGACAGCTCTTTCAGTTGCACTATAGAGTTTGCTGAAGCCAAGGTTCTGCCTAATTAGTCAATACACCAACTAGCATAGAAAGCAACCTCCTGAATTTGATTCTATTCTCTTGCAAACCATGCAGCTCTAAAAGGAACAGATGGCAGTGCCAAACTGAGCTAATTATCCATCCTCCTGATTTCTTGTGTATTAACACTTTTCTCATGAAAGTCTGAGACTCTATAAGCAGTTTCCGGTTTCTCCCTATTTAAACTGCAATCCTTTTAAATATTACTATGTAGGACAGGGGTTCCCTTTTAAAGAGTAGGTGTTTGTGTAGACTTCTCTAGGGCACCATATATTGCCAGAACTTTGGGTATAGGAAAAGGTCCACCGGATTGGTTTGTTAACTTTCAGAGTGTCTTTATTTATATTATGGAGTACTTTCAAATAAGGTTATTATTCTGCCGTGTCCTGTTGTCATCTTCTATTCAAAGCCCAACAAAATTGTCTTGCACGTTTTGACTTTTTTCTTAGCATTTATAAAACTATGTTAAAGAGGGAAAACCAGAATAATTGCAGAAGGCCTCTGGGTTAGGCACTTCTAGGAACTGTTCATCAAAATGTGTCCCTCATGTGGCTGAAAATTTGCTGCATACTTCAGTTTCCTATAGCAAACAATTGTAAAAAGTTGGATATGACACAGTTTTTATGATTTGCTTTTCACTGCTGATCCCTTCTCTCCTTCCATGACTGCAATATGATATGTTATATCTTTTTACTATGGGGAGAGCCACTCTGGGTTTCTTTGAGAGCCACAGATGGTACAGTGTGCATTTGTACCAGTAGAGTTGGACATTTAAAAAAAAACAAAACAGAAAGGAAACAAACCACACACTAGTCTGAACTGGGATTTTCTCCATTAACCTATTACAAAGAGGTTGGAGAACATGCATAACTCATTCACATGTATGTAGGAAAACAATCAATTTGTTTGGTAAGTAGGAATGACCTGAACCAAGTCTGCTTCAAGAAAATATTTTTTAATTGTACCAAGCAATAGCTTTGTTTTTTGTTTTTTTAAATGCATTCATTCTGGATGTAGCTTGGCTTCCTTTACTACAATTTGCTCTTTACCATCTTTGGCAGCGCACATGCTGTTTATGACAGTAGCAGCAGGCAATCTGGGAAGAAGCCAGGTGGTAAATTCATGATTTATCAACTGCCTCGTGGCCCCAAAGGAAAGACAATCCAGACACGCAATTAAAAAATAACCACCAGACAATGTGATGCACAATTAAGGGTGTCATAATCATCTCCAGTTTTAAAATGACTGACATGAACTAGTCTATTTCTCTACAGGAAATAGATTTGGATTAACTATTTGGTATAATTTCCTATAAGAACTGCCAATGGGGAGGAAAAGTGTTTGGTTGCCTCATTGTGTTATGCAGAGGTAGTATTCAGCAGGTTCTGACCAGTTCTGGAGAACCGGTAGAGGAAATTTTGAGTAGTTTGGAGAACCGGCAAATACCACCTCTGACTGGAGATTTTACAGTATCCTTTCCCTGCCATGCCCACCAAGCCATGCCCACAGAACTGGTAGTAAAAAAAAAACTTGAATCCCACCACTGGTGTTATGCCTTCCTTTGCTGGAGGCTGTCAAACAAACACTAGGAAGCTATTTGTCCTAAGTGCTTTAGTAGATCATGCATTCAGTGGTGAGTTGTATTAGATGACTTCTGAGATCTTTTCAATTCTTTGATTTTTGGATTCTATGAATTCAACTGAAAACAATTAATTTCTAAAAGTTTTGTCTGAAAATGATGATGAAGAAAGAATCAAAATGTGCCCTCATTTTGGGGTGGGTGGTGATTGTTTCCTGCTAACTTTTCACTGCCTCTTGCTCTAGAATCTAGTAAAAGCAGATTTCCAAAGTGGAAAACACATACGCTCTAAAATGGTAAGTTTTATTAATCTTATTAATATAATGCCAATGGTGTTTCTTTTTGACTGATTCTAAGTCAGTCAGACTTACCTGTATATAGTTGTAGGTGGAGCATTCACTGTGTCATAGATAAGTCTTACATGCCCTTGATACAATTCTAAAGCCAGGGGATCATTGTCCCCTTTGTATAATAAGATGCCATTGTCCTTATCAGTTGCTACCTTTAAATAGAAGAAAAAGAAAATTAATAATGATATAAAAACAATGGTTTTTAATGGTTAACTAAGCATTAATTTGAAATTTACCCCATTGCTATTCAGTGATGATAATTGGTCTATGGCTTCCCAAAGAAAAATATTCTCTGTACACCACAAATATTAGGATGTAAGTTACAGTTACCAGGATGCAAATTATAACTTTCTAAGTTTCCCTAGTATAAGTGTTCACATTTAATAAATGGAATACTGGCATTCCTTAGTCATGTCAGAAAGATCATTGGAATACTGGATTGTGGAGTGATGCTTGACTTAGATAAATACCCTTCAATTCAGTTTTGAAGAGAGTTATGAGCATACAGAGTTTGACATAAGTCTGTAGAGATTCTCAGTCATCCAGGTCATGGTTGTCCCAAAGGTGTTTTTTCAAGAGGTGACTGGACTTACTTGTTTTTTCTTTTGAAGATGTTTCGCTTCTCATCCAAGAACTTCTTCAGTGGAATGGGTGAGAAGTGAAACATCTTCAAAAGAAAAAACTAAAAAGTTCAGTTGCCTTCTGAAAAAGCACCTTTTGGACAGCCATGACCTGGATGACTAAGAATCTCTACAGACTTTTAGCTATACAATTTGGGATGAACACCCTTTGAATGGTGTGGAAGTAGGAATGGATTTCCAGAGGGAAAAAATTGCAGACTACAGGAACCAAGAGCACTACTCAGGTGACCTTTAGGATACAGATAAACTTCTAAGTTATTTCAATGACCAGCTGTCTGCAAGGAATATAAATCCTTCCATTCCCCACTATCCTGTCAGAGTTGAAGAAGTTTCTTGGATGAAAAGTGAAACATCTCCAAAAGAAAACACAAAAAAAGTCCAGGTGCCTCATGAAAAAGCACCTTCGGGAAAGAGCTTGACATGTTGAGTGACTGCGGCACAGCAGAGGCTAAGTTAGAAATTCTGACTTTGCTTGTTCCTAGCTTTATGGTTCACCTTTTCCACCCCAAAAGCTTGTGCAATAGCTAGCTGAGCTGTTGTAAAAGATGTAACTCAAACATAATTTTCCAACATGTATCTGGTAACTTTAAATAATCCCTAGTGTTACTTGTGAAAGAACTTTCTTTCCCAACTATAAGAGATTTAGAGGCAACATAATATCTTTCTAGAAACTTTATTGACACGTAGACTCCTTATAAAAACAGTCACCTAACTGCAAGAATTTAGAAATTTTATAGTTTATATAGTCTGCACAAAAAGAAAGACTAGGTGTGGGTATATGTGGTGAATTATAACACATTAAATCTTATAAAATATAAGAATAATAAAATAGCCTTCTCTCAATATAGATTCTTTTTGTGTGCTTTTAAAGTCAGACTTGATTTCTGCTGACTGGCTGAGCAAGTCCTTGTAGCTTTTTTGACAAGATTTCAGAAGTGGTTTGCCCATGCTTGCTTCCTAGTGCTGAGAGAGAGGGATGGGCCCAACATCATCCAGCTTGGGAGCCTAAGGTGAGTCACTCTAGAACTCACAGTTTTCTGATTTCCAGCCTGATGCCATAATAACCATTACACCAAACTGGCACCAAGAAAGATATTAGTAATATTTAAATAGAGTTGACGGCTCAGCAAAAATAAGTGATTTTTAGAGATTTTTGACAGTAAATGCCACAAGGTTGGGGATACAAAATGAGAGGACATCTCATCCATGTCCCTATAACATCAGATTTAGGAGGACTTTAAAAGATGAGATGTTCCCATAGAATGGGTACATTCAATTTTGGGAAGGTTGTATATATAGGACTGAAAGAGACTGAAGGATATAAATGTGAACAAGTGTTGCACATGTTTTGAAAATGATTCATAAGACATAATTTGGGTTCATAAGAACACAAAACTTCTATGATATATTTTTTAAATCAGACTATCTTTTTCTATTTGAACCTAAGCATAGATGCTTCTACTTTATGGAATAAACACCCCCCCACCCGGTCCAAACTTTGTGTGGCAAAGCAAACTTTATACTCACAAAGTGGGTGAAGCCAGAATTTATTTTTTATGGGGACTCTCAAGTGTTAAATCATGTAGAGATTTAACAGAATAACTATTCTGTTAAATCTCTGCAAAACAGAAGGCCACCATTTTGGTCCCTAATAAACCCCAAATTCCCCCCTAAAAAAGAAAAGGGCTTTTCTTTTTTATTCTATCCATATGGAGGACCACTGGAGGGTAAAAAGATGGTTCACAGGAATCTGTGCCACACCTTGTCCTTCCATGTTTTAATAGTGCAAGTAACTAATTATATTAAACATACTTATTTCAGGATCTAGGTAATATTTTAAGCTTTTTTGTACAAGCTACTTACTGGCTTGTATATAGTTACACCGACTTGCTTTTAAAAAAAGGCCTTGAAATTAAACTCAACAATACTACTGTGTTTCTCACAAAATAATGCCGGGCCTTATTTTTTTTTTGACCCCCGAAAAAAATGGCTAGGCTGTCTTTTGGGGGGTGACTTAATTCCCCCCCTTGCAATCTCAGGTGGGCGGCGACAGCTTGGATGTTGACCTCGGAGTTGGTGGGGCACTTCGTATCGGGAGACCTTCTGCCACCGTTGCTTTCCCTTCTCCCCATGCTGCCGTGGCATTTAGAGCAATGTCGCGGCATTTGGCGTAGCCACGCAGCTTTTGATGCAGCCATGTGCGGCCATCCAGGGCTCCTTCCTGCAACCGGAGCCCAGTGGAGACACTCACCTTCAGGCGCTCTTGTCGCCACCTTCCCTTCGCCTTCGAAGGCAAAGCAAATTCTTTTAAAAACGATGCCCTACTACCGGTACGACAAAGCCTCCCCAGCCCGAGAGGGCAGCCAAACCCCACATGGGGAGGCAAATCTCCCGGGGCCGCAGCGCAGGATCGGCCCACCCCGGGAGAAGCGCCCAGCCACCATCCCTGCCTGCTGCCTCGCCTGGGGCACCCAGCGCAGCTGACAGCTGGGTCCTCCTGCCCAGTGGCGGAGCTCTCGCCAAGGAAGTGAGTGCCTCCCCACCGGGCCTTCCGCTCATCCCGCCAGGGCCACGCCAGAGCCATGCGGGCTGGGGAGAGCCAGGAAAGCGAGCCGCGGGTGAGCGCCCGCCTGCCAAGCGAAAGAGCCGGGCCGACCCAAGCTTGTCTTCCTTCCCAAGTCCCTCCAGCCTGAACCTGAAGGGGCCACCGGGAGAGGTTGCCCAAGCCCAAAGCCGCCTGTCCTTTCCACCCCTTGCCTAGCCGGTCCCCGTGCATCTCAAAATGTGCCGCCAGCTCCAAACGCTGCAGTGGCATGGGCATCGGGCAGAAGCGCTCACTCAGCGGGGCTCAGCTCAGAGGAGGACGTAGCGCAGGCCGTCGCCTTGCCTCCCTGTCCACAGATGGGTAGGCAGTATCACTGCCTCGGGTTGCCTCTCCCGGTGGCCCCTTCAGATTTGGGCTGGAGGGACTTGGGAAGGAAGCCAAGCTCGGGGCAGCCCGGCTCTTTCACTTGGCAGGTGGACGCATACCCGCGGCTCGCTTTCCCGGCTCTGCCCAGCCTGCACAACTCTGGCGTGGCCCTGGTGGGATGAGCGGAGGGCCTGGTGGGGAGGCGCTCGCTGCCTTGGCAAGAGCTCCGCTGCTGGGCAGGAGGGCCCGCCTGTCAGCTGCACTGGGCACCCCAGGCAAAGCTCTTCGTGCTCTGCCCGGCGCCAGGCAGGGATGGTGGCTGGGCACTTCTCCTGGGGTGGGCCAATCCTGCTCTGCGGCCCCGGGAGATTCACCTCCCCATGTGGGGTTTGGCTGCCCTCTTGGGCTGGGGAGGCTTTGTCGTACCGGGAGTAGGACATTGTTATTAAAAGAATTGGCTTTGCCTTCGAAGGCAAAGGGAAAGTGGCAACAGGAGCGCCTGAAGCCGAGTGTCTCCACCGGGCTCCAGTTGCAGGGAGGAACCCTGGCTGGCTACGTGTGGCTGCGCCAAACACTGCGTGGCTGCACCAAATGTCGTGGTGTTGCTCTAAACGCCGTGGCAGCACGGGGAGAAGGGAAAGCAATGGTGGCGGAAGGTCTCCTGATATGAAGTGCTTCCCCAATGCCGAAGTCAACGCAGGCAGCACCATATCCGGGTATGCAACAAAAGTACTTCCTAATGGCAAGCCCCCCACCATTCCCCCCCATTTTGCATGTTTAATATAGGCCTTAATTTGTGGGGAGGGGCTTAATTTGATTTTATGCCTATAAAACATGCTGGGACTTCCTATTGGGGGAGGCCGGATTGTTGGAGAAACACGGTCATACCAAATTCTAACAACAATACTTACATCTACCAGTAGAAGTACTTCTGGAATAGAATAGAATAGAATAGAATAGAATAGAATAGAATAGAATAGAATAGAATAGAATAGAAT